GAGCGCAGGCGGCGAACAGGGTGTCCGGGCCGACGGGCAAGCAGAATTAGCTACTGGGCGCGACACAAGCCGGCCGGGCCAGCTCACAAGGACTGGTGGGGTTACTTTTTTTGGTCGCGGCCGCGAGCGAAGAACGCAGGCGGCGAACAGGGGGTCCGGGCCGACGGGCAAACCGAATTAGCTGCTGAAGGCGCGCCGCAGGCCGGCCGGCCCACTCACCAAGCAGCAGCGGGGCTGCGCGGGAGGCTGGCAGCTGGGGGCATCCAGGGACGCTCGGGCACGCGCGGTCTGACAAAATGCAGAGAAATTCGGTGCATGCCGTGAGGCATAACCCACACAGACGACGCGGGGACGTGCACGAACGCGTCGACGCGTCCATCCTGCTGGGTGGGCGTTCAGGCGAAAAGAACGGCGGGCGAATCGCCAGTGGGGCGCCCGGCCCAGGGCCGCCCCAACAACGCGCGCGGGCTAGGGACGTCGCAAACCTGCCTGAAGAGGGGGATGAGTCCAGGGTGCTGTTGCGACTGCAGAAGGCTAAACCACTCCGGCGCGACCACAGCACCCAAGGGGTCATCGTCCCGTGCCCGCGGGGGGCCCGGACGTCAGTGGGCGGGCGCTGGTGTTTTTTTTTTTTTGTTGGCGGCTCCCTGGCGAAGGTCAAGAAGCGGGGGGCGTCGAACGGGGAGCGAAACGAAGATAATTGGCCGACGAGGCGCATGCGCATGCAAAGGGCAAAATGATCCAAATTAAACGCCGAAGTCCGGCGGTCCGGCGCCGACATCCCGGCGGGCGGGGACGCCGCGGCGCAGCGAGCGGCGGCATTGGCGGCACAGCGTGGCCAGGTGATCGAGCCAAGCATCCCGACGGGCGGGGGCAGCACGGCGACCAACGCTGGAACGGTACTGGAACAGCCGGGAGAAGTCGCCCTGGCGGCGCCTGTCTCTGGCCGAACGACACGCGGAAGCGAGGCCAGGAAGGGGGGGGGGGCGCCGGTGCGGACGTCAGCCGGGGCACACAACATCACCAAGAAAAAAATGCGGCAGGCAGAGAACGGCCCCACTCACCATGGCTCACTGACGCAGAGGTGCGGCTGAAGCCCGCCCTTGCCCATGAGAAGGGGGCGACCCCGGTCAGCGCGCACACTGGTGGGGGTACGCGGAGCGTCTAGCATTCGCGCAGCTTTGCCCCGCCTCGCTCGTGCGCACGTCGCGCACAAAACGAAACGACGTCACTCTCTGGGGACATCGCGGTTAACTTCGGTCTCGTCCCCCAACCTCCAGTATAAATGTAAAGAGAGAGGGACGTATAGCTTCTCTGTAAATGTCAATGTGGCAACGCCCCCTCCAACGAATTCATCCAGCGCCCGTCATACTCGTCCTCCTCTGATTCCCCCTCATCTTCCTACTCCTGCGCCTCCTCTTCCTGCGTCATCCTCGTCATCATCTTCACTTTCATCATTCTACTCCTGATCCTGATCCTCCTCTCCCGCGTAGTAATATCCCTCTTCCTCCTCCTCGTGGCCACTTGCTCCTCCTGCTCCTCATCCTTCGTTTCTCCTCATACTGCTCCTCTCCGTCGCATTCATCGTCAATATCCTATTCCTCCTCTTCCTCCCCCATCCTCTTCCGCATCCTTTGCGTCGTCTTCCTCCTGCCCCCCCTTCATCCCCTCTGTGCCGCCCGCCTCTCCTCATGCTTCCTCTTAGATGCTCATTCTGGCCGCGGGGAAGGCCGTCGCAGGCCGAGGAAACGAATGCGCCGACGTTGCGGCCTGGGCGCGGGCCCCCCCCTCGCCCCCGATGCGTTTCAAGGCGCGCCGCGTCCTCCTCGCCCCGCGCCCCCCCGAGTTCCCCGTTCCCCACTCGGCCCGAACTCTGCTCCACCCTCTGTTCTTTGTCCTGGCCGCCGAGCAAGCTCCCGCCGCGGCGTCGGACCCCTGCTCGTGCTCTTCCTTGTCGTCCGCCTCGCCCTCTTCGCCCTCCCCCTCCGTCCCCCCCGCCCCCCCCTTTGCTCGCGTTCTGGTAATCCTTGTCGCCCTGCGCGCTCCTACCCCCCACCCTCCTCTCCTCTCCCCCTATCCCAGCGCTCGCCCCGCCCCTCTGAGCACAGCCCCCCCCCCCCCTCTCTCGGTAGAGCGGCGCCCGCCTGCCGTGCCGCCGCAGACTCTACGCGCTGCAGCTCGGGTCGCCCGTCTCCAAGTCGATGCGAATCGCCCAGCGGCGCCGGCCAAGGCGGGGGGGGTGCTCGGGGCGGGGGGCGGACGAGGGAAGCCAGGGCGAGGGGGGCTTCAGATCCCCGCCCCGCCTCGCCGCGCCCCGCGACCCGCGGCCCCTCGCGGCTGAGTCCGCCTCGAAATGTTAGCCCCGGCGCGCGCCCCCCCCCCCCCCCCCCCCCCCTCGCGCCGACGCGTCTCCGCGGCTGGATCCGCGCCGAAATGCCGGCCCGAAGGCGCCGCGGCATCGATCTATGGCTTCGCGGATTCGGGCCGTGATTCCCATGGCCAAGGACGTCGATCATCAGGGTGGCGAGGGCCAGGGGGTCGACCGCCATCGATGGCGAAGATCATGGGGGCGAGGATCTGCACGGCGAGGACGCGGATAGCGAGGGGCCGCAAGAGAGGGCGAACGCGACGAGAACGAGGGCGAGGAAAGCGGGGATGGGGGGGGCGGGGGCGGGGGGGGGCGGCGAGCAGGCGAGCGAGGGCCAGGGCAATGAAGACCCGGGGGGCGATCAGCAGGAGAGCGCGCCGCGGCGCGGGTCGGCCGAGCGAGCCGCGCCTTGCTGCGCGAGCTTCGGCGCAGTCAGAGCGCCGCGCTGCCGGGGCCCATCGCGCGAGGTTCGAGCCGCGGCAGCTCGCTGCAAACCGGCGCCCGGGCAGCTGGCAACGTCGATGGACGCGCCGATGGCGCAGACAACTGCGCAGCTAAAAGCTGCGCGTGCCCGACGGCGTTCCGGGCTGCTGGCGCCCGCGAGAAGGAAGGGCGTGATCGTGGCTGAGATGGCGGAGAGTGGGGGCGAGAGGGGGGCGGCGCGAGGGGGGGGGGGCAGCGAAATGGGAAATGGGAATGGGGGGGGGGGGCGAAAAGGGGGGCGAGAGGGAGGCTTCGATCAGGGGCAGAAGGGGGCGGCGCGAGGGAAGGGGGGCGCAATCGGGAGTGAGAGGCGGGCGTGGCGAGGGGAACCGGGTATGAGAGCGGAATGGAACAGCCGCCGCGGCGGCGCGAAGGCGCCACCGCTCGGCGGCGAGAGGGTTGGAAGACATGCCAGACGCGTCCTCGCACAAAACTTTGCGCGGCCCCCCGCCCCCGCCAAGCGCAGCGCCTGTGGGTGGCCGCGCGTCCCAAGAGCGCACTCGCGCCGTCGACGCGCGGATGTCTTCGCGCCGTCGCGCGTGCCCCCTTGAAAAGGGCGCGGTCGGTAAACGCGCCATCGCGTGGATATCTTCGCGCCCGCGCGGGGCTGTCTTCAGCGCCTCCGCTCGGCCAGCGCCCAAGGCGCCAAAGGCCAGCGGGGCGCTCCCAGGAGAATCTGCCACCGGACCACATTGTAGCCCGAGAAGGACTGCGTGGGGTAGCAGCCGAAGCACGCCCAGCGACCCTGCGGCGATCGCAGCAAACCCGCAACGCGAGTCCAACCAAAAATCCACCCCCCCGCCAACGCAACGAGGCGAACCCAGCCACAGCGACGAGGACTCTCCAGAACCAGATCGGGGGCAGTGGGCTTGATGCACGGCCGAACTCACACATGTACCCGTGTGGGCCCCTGCGGGGGCCGTTGATGACCCCCTGCCATGAGCGCGCGAACGCGTCCTCCCGGTTTTTGAAGGTCCAGCGATGGCAGTGCGTGGTGCGCCGTGTCTCGTAGGGGACGGGCTGGGCGTCGGGCTCGGGGAGCGTGATGCGAGGCCCTGCAGGCTAGGTGTTTCCTTTTCGGCGGCGGGGCGATCGCGGGAGCGGTGCCGGGCGGCGCAGCGTGGCGCATCGCGGGCATGGGGCCCTGCGGCTGGAAACCGTGGTGCTGCATAGCAAGGTAGTTTGCCGCGTCGGGGCCTGCGGAATTATATCGGTAGGGCGCGCCGCCTGACTGAGAGGACGGCGCTGCGTGCACCTGCGAGTTGGTCGGGCGCCGCCCGTGCCTGCCCGCGTGCCCACTGGCGAACCCCGCCCCTTCCGTTTTCGAGAGCCTGATCCCCCCCCCCCCCCAAGAGGAGGCGGAGGGGGAGGAGGAGGGCGAGGAGGACGAGGAGGAGGAGAGGGAGGACGAGGAGGAGGAGGAGGAGGAAGACGAGGAGGGGGGGGAGAAGATCGAGGAGGGGAGGGAACGAAGAAAAGGATCAGCGAAGTGGGAGCGGGCACCGCGCGCTGCGTTCGGCCGCCTTCGCGGCGACGAACCGCAGCGAGGCGAGCGGCGGGGCCGCCGGGGGGGGTCTTCCTCTTCCTCTTCCTCTTCCTCCTCCTCGTTTTATCTCCTCCTCGCCCCCCTGTTCCTCACCCCCATCTTCGTCTTCCTCCTCCTTTCTCCTCCTCGTCCCTTTCCTTGTTCTCCTTGCCCTCCCCCTCCTCATTATCCTCCTCCTCCTCCTCCTCCCCCTCCTCCTTCTCTTTACACCCTTGTCTCTCGCCCTCAGGCCTTCCAGGTGCGCTCCAAAACGGCCCCATAACGCCTCGGTAAGATATCCCAGCATTAGTCAGAGGCCAAAGCGCGTTTCAAGACGGCCCAAGATGATTCCAACATGGCCCGAGAGTTACCCGAAACACCCCAACGACACGGGCAAGTGGACCCCCAAACGTGTTTGCACATGCCAACGATATGTAGCGTTCTCCAAACTGTGATTGCAATGTTCGATGGATCAAGTGTTCAGTGTGATGATGGCGATGTTATGCTGGTTGTGTTTTTTTTTTCCGCAGCCGACATGAGCACGGCTGTAAGTGTAATTGCTGTGCCTCGTCGTCACGAGGCCAACCGTTGATATGCAATATGGATATGGCAGCGAGTGGTCATTCACGAATTGCTGCCTGCAACCAAGATGTCGACCGATGCCTGCAGCACCTCGTCCTTGAAATCTCCGCGCCCCCTGAATACCTCCAGATCGTTCTTGGCTGAATCACGCTGCAGCAGCGGCGCCTTCTTCGCCCCAATAACGTTCGAGCCGCTCGCCGCTGCACATGCGAAGTATCCGGGAGGGGCCACGACCAGATCACCAGAAGCAGCTGTTGTTGTCAATACGTGCATGCCTTTCTCGATGAGCGCCTTCGCGTCGTCCTGCTCCAAGGCTAGGAGCATCGTCGATGCCCGACTCTTGATATCGACATCTTTCATGTAGCCGAGATGGCTCAGCAGATCAACGCCCTTGATGAAGATGAGCTTGACGTTGCCTCCTGTGACGTAGTAGCGAGCAGAACTGAACAGGCCAGTCTCGAAGTCCATACCCACGAACGTGGCTAGATATCCGAAACACCACAGCTTGTCGGTAGAGGAGGCCACGACAGGAAGCTCGCTGACGTCAGCGTGCATCCGCTTCGGCGTAATGCTGCTCATGAGAGGCTCCACCACAGATGCACCATGGACCGCCGTCATCGGGGCATTCGCCTGGCCACCCCTCTTCTCGGCCATGGCGGGGAACTTCTCCAAGAACTTATCCGCGCTGCTAGCCAGGGCGCTGTCCTTGAAAGCGTCGGCCCACGCGCCCCCAGCGCTGACTTTGAAAGGTTCGTCCAGCACTGCTGCTGAGTCCCCACTCAGCGCCTCCTCGAACTTTGGCGCACCATCGAACGATTTGACAGCCTTGCCCCCGATCGCGCCCCAGTCCACTGCAAACGCCCCAGCCTTGGTGGCCCTGGGGGGGGGGGAACTGCGCCCAGCTGAGAGGACGACGAGGAGGGCGCGGAGAAGGGCAAAGAGAGGAAGAGGAGGAGGAGGAGGAGGGAGGCGAAGAAGAGCAGGAGCACGAAGAGAGGAGGAGGAGGAGGAGGAGGAGGATGACAAATGAGAAGGAGGAGGATGGGATGGAGGAAGACAAGGAGACAGCGGGCAGGCAGTTCCCCCCCTGTCCTCATCGCTGTGATCTGCTTCTTCAGGGCGCTGGCGGCCGCCGAAGCCGCCGCCCTCTGCCCCTCGAGCTTCTTGGCCTTCGCCTCCCTCTCGCGCTGGGCAGCTGCTTGTGAAGCCGTGCTGGCGCTCTTCTTCGCGAGTTTCGTGGCATCCATGATGCAATCGCGCAGCTGGCCGAGCTGCATCTTGAACTGGTCCACCTTTGCCTCCGCCTCCTCAATCGCGTCCGGTGTGGTTGCGGCCCGAATTGTCCCCAACCAGCGACTCCGCCCTGATCATGCAGAACAGCTCCTCCTTCTTATCGATGTGAAGTAATTCGGCCCTCGCGACGGTCTCCTTCAACTTGTAGTCGCGATATGCCACCGCGTCGGAATTCAAGTGGTCTGGAAGCTGGCCACCCGCCTGAGCCGCCTTGTAACCTTCGAGGGCCTTCTTGAAATTAGCATTGATGTCTATGTCTTGGGCGCTCGCGATTGACTCCACCTCGATGGTAATATCCTTGCCGAGGACCATGGCCCCGATGAGGAAGCGCTCCAACAACAGGTTCTTTTCCTTCTCGCCTGAGTCGATGCCTTCCTTGTGCGCCTTCGAAGCGAGCGTCATAGACTTCTTGAGCTTGTCGCTTTCAAGCTGCAGTGCCCTCTGCTTTGCCTCTGCAGTTTTGAGTCTCGTGACACCGACGTCAAACTTTTGCTTCTTCGCCGAAGAGCCTGGATCTTTCGGCGACGTCTCCTTGGGGTAGTTGGGGTCCTTGGGGTCCTTGGAGCCAGCGGCGCTTGGACTGGAGGCGGCTGTCGGCGCGTGACTGATCATGATGTCTGCAGCGGCCTTGCCCGCATCGTCCGTAGCGTTCACAGCCTTGGCGGATGGAGCTAACAGGGCACTTGCTGAACTCGCAGCAGCGACCACGGCGAAGCCCTTGGTGCAGTCCTTGACGGCGGTGTCCAGGTCGCTCTTCGCCATGGCCGTCCCCTTTGGCTTCGCCGTTACCATCTCCTGGGCATGGAAATTCTTCGTCTCCTGCTTGCTCTGATCGGCCCCAACCATCCACGATGGCACTGGCAGACGAAGTGGCGCCTCCGGGGGGCCACGATTGTCCTTTTGATCTTCTGGGGTGTCTTGCTCGAGCTGCGCCCACTCCTGCTTGATCTTGGCAGTCGACCACTGCCTGAGGGCCTTCAGCTGGGTGGAGAAAATCTCGAAGTCCCACTTCGGTCTAGCTGACGAATATGTGGTGCTTCTCTCGGCCCCCCTGCGATTGACGTACGTAGTAAGTGCAATGTCACTTCCCCGGGCTTTCGTGCTTCTCCCGCTGCCAACATCGCCCATGTCAGGATGTTTCGCTCTGACATCTTCCAGCACTTGACTTGCAAGCTCGACCTCCCCCTCGTAAGTCTTACAGCCCTTCTTCCCCTTGTGTCCGAAAATCTTCTTGAAACTCCTGGACTCCTCCGCCTCGGTGCTCTCGTGAGTGTCGTCGACGCCCTTCAGGCTGCGAGTCCTCGAGCATTCGTAAATCCGATGGTGAATCCTGCAGTACTTTTTGTCCCCCACGATACATTCGCCGCGCGTAAGAACAGGGCAGTTCTTAGCGGCAGCCGCCGCCGCCCGGGTCTTCGGCTTGGCCACGGCGCATCGTTGAGCTTTATGATCTGGTTCAGCTTCTGAGTCGGCTGCCGCTCCCAACCGCTTGAGGAATCTCTCAGACCGCGAAGTGAAGTGCGGCTCCTCATCTCCGAAACTGAACTCCCTGGCACCATCGGCATCCATGGCGCCCTTCAAGGGGGCCTTGCTGACGTCAAGACCCCGTGGCTCGATGCCGCCCGTCACCAGGGCACTGCCGTCGACATCGGCAGCTTCCGACATGATTACCAAGAGAATTGACAAAGTTGCACGTCGCATGTATCGTTATGAAGAAATTGAAAATAGAAAGCACCCTCGACGGAGCCAACATCACTGCGCAAGCGGTTGGGGTTGGATCACGAAGTCAATCGACATCCGAATCCTCGCTCGTCACTACTTGGGGCATCACGCACCACTGCTTGGGTTCCACGTCCACTGTCCACTGTTTGAGTTCCACGCCTCACTGTTTGGGATCCACGCCTCCACTGTTATGGGATCCGCGCCCACTGCGGGGCTTCCAGTTAAGGGATCCACGCCCACTGTTATGGGATCCACGCCTCCACTGTTATGGGATCCACGCCCACTGTTATGGGATCCACGCCCACTGTTATGAGCTCGGCTTAAGGTTTGCGGTTTCTGACGCATGCCTTACTTGTTTGACGTGCGGGGGGGGGCATGGCATAGCATAGCATGTGTTACTTAATGCTTATTTGAAATATGATCCGACGTTTGTTTCACGCGCAGCACCCTTGTCACGCATGAAGGGAGAGAGAGAGAGAGAGAGAGAAAGAGAAAAACAAAAAAAAAGAGAGAGAGAGAGAGAGAGAGAGAGAGAGAGCTCAGGAGAAGCATTTGGGGGTCCAGGATGCCTCGACCTTTGGGGTTCCAGGGTGCCTGGGGCCTAGAGCCTTTGGGGTTCCAGGATGCCTGTCGCCATCTAGGGCAGCGTCAGCGCTGCGGCCCTCCCCCCAACTGGCTTCCCAACGACGTCTCCACTCGGCTGTGGACAACTCAGATCGCCGAGGACGTGGACGAGTAGAGCGAACGATCGCCTGCAGCGCGCGCGGCGCCACGTCTGGCAAGCCCAGGCCCCTGGCTTCTTCGAGCCACCGGCCGCTGCCTTGGACGCCCGGCCTGCCTCATCGTCATCCTCCATGATGTTCTTCCACTTGAAGTTGATGGGCGGGCACATGTCGTTTACCACGTCCCTCCTGATCGTGTGGCTTGCCACGAAGCAGAACCACGACTCCTCGGCAACCAGGTGCATCCCGTTGCCCAACGTAGTCTTACCCAAAGTCTGGGTCATCTCAGAGATGTCGAAAGGGAGCAGATCACGTAGCTCAGGATTCTTCGAGAAAGTCGGCCAGCCCTGCGAAAATGCCATCTCCTTCGGCGTGTAGATGTGATCTTTGTTCGCGTCCCCGATGTTGATGCTAACCATCTGCGAACTGCGTCGCAATGTGGGGATCCAGAAGGACATTCGGCTATGACCTTGCGGGTTGCTGCTGACATCAACGACCAGGCGGTTGCAGTCCGGTGCCTCGCGCGTCTGTGCTAGCGCATGGTATCCAAGCAGAAAGTCGGCAGCGCTCGGCGACAGCGCCTCGAACGCATAGTTCGGGACTGTTTGGGACTGTTTGGACTGCGTCTTCAGGTTCTTCTGGATCTCCTCAGGGGTGTCCAACTGGCAGAAGACGCTGGCCGTGCTGACGACTTTCTCGCGGTAGATGTTCAGAAACGCGTCGGCCACGCGCGGCCCCTTGTGCCCAGTCCAGACAAGGGCTTCGTGGCGGAGAGCAGCAGCCCGAACTCGCGAGCGGGCGGTAGGCCAGCCAAGATCCGTCGGCGAGAAGATCGCGTAGATCACCTTGTGCGTCGCCGAAAGGCCTGCGATCAGGAGCTCCATCGGGAAGTGGTCGGACTCCTCCAGTAGCACGATGTCGAACAACTTGGCCTCTTCGAGCCGCATGTTGAATGAGCTGATGGACTTGTGGGCCATCCCGTCTTTATCACCTCCTGTACACCACGGTTGACACTGAGGCCCACTCCAGTTCATGGTCAAGGGCGTAGGCGCGTTGAAGAAGTCATCCTCACCGAACTTATCCCCACCGAATCGGCGCGGGCACATGGCGCCGTCATGTACGAGGCACTTGTAGGACATCTTGCCCTTGCAGAAGAATGCCCAGGCAATTTTCTTCAGCTCCCCTTTGTGCTTCTCGTTGTGGTCCACCTTATCCCAGAACGGCAAACTTGAATGGAGTGGCGACGCCTGCGGCAAGACCCTGGAGGGATCGTGAATATCCTCGACCTTCTTGTGCACGTGCTTAGGTCTCAGAGGGTCATCCAAGCTGCAAATGTTCTTGACCAGCTTCGCGTTCGACTCGGGCGCCCTGTAGAGCAGCAGCCAAGGTACCGTGAGACCTGTTTGTCGTAGCGCGAGCTCCGTCATCTTCATCGCCATCTCTGCGCCCTGGGCACCGCTGAAGTCCGCGCGCAGGGCAATGCCATGCTCCAGCAAGCTGCACATGCGACGACCACGAATGTCACCTCCATGTCCACTGCAGGTTTTCTTCACGCAGTGATCTGCGTGTCTCTCGAACTCATCTTGTGCACTCGGCCCCGGTGAGAGCCAACGCGTCATCTTCTGGTACTGCTTGGCGTTCCCACCCTTGAGTTTGCCGATAAGGCGCTTGAACTCGACAGGTTCCATGGCCGAGTACTTCAGAGCAGCTGCGTCCTCGTCGAGGTCGTCGTCGGGCTCCTCTGCGAGGAGCTCAACGTCGCTCAAGCGCGAGCTCTTGCCGTCTTGATCGTCCTCGCTGTCTGCGTCCGACGCGCCCGAGAGATCCTCGTCGAGCGCACCGCCATCAGCACGAGCAACCGCCTCTTCGAACTCGAAGGAATCCCTGGGCGGCTCGGGCTGTGGCGAACGAGACCGAGACCTTGGCCGTTCAGGCGATTGACCTTTTGGGACTTGACCCGCATCTGGAACCGCGCCATCCCCCTCGCGCCGATCATTTTCTGACATCGCAACTGGAAGAACGTCACATGTAAATGGACGCGATCTCTCACTTCACAGATGGACGGTCGACTCGAGCCTCGAAATACAAGGAGTTAGACTGGCCGACGCGCCAACGCGCATCATTGTTCTCACGCAGGGTCCACAGTCCACAGGTCCTCAGCGGTCGTTCGCAAGTTCCCAAACAGCGCATGCCCACGAGTCCCCTAACAGTGCTTGTCCACAAGACCCCCGAGCAGTGCTTGCTCAGAAGCCCCCAAAGAGTAGTTAGGGTCACGGACATACGAGACGACACGACGCGACCACTTTTTGGGACAAACAGCGCCCGGCGACCATTTTCCCAAAAAGTGGTCGCCCCGCCGCTGCGCGACGTGACCCCAAGGCGGCCCATCCCCGAGACATTAGCTAACAAAGGCGTGATAAACACATACTTCCGCCAGCTTCCGTCAACTTCGGGAACCCAAGAGCGCCCAAGAGGGCCTTTGGAGGGGCCCTCAGACGGCTCCAAGAGGGCCCCAAAAGGGCCCCAAGAGGGTCCCAAGAGGGCCTCAAGGGGTTGTCACGGAAAGGGGCCCTGCGTGACAACCCCAGCGGTTCCTCTTGGAGCCCTCTTGGGACCCTCTGAAGGCCTTTGGAAGGGCCCTAAGGCGGCTCCAAGAGGGCCCCAAGAGGGCCCCAAGAGGGTCCCAAGAGGGCCTCAAGGGGTTGTCACGGAAAGGGGCCCTGCGTGACAACCCCAGCGGTTCCTCTTGGAGCCCTCTTGGGACCCTCTGAAGGCCTTTGGAAGGGCCCTAAGGCGGCTCCAAGAGGGCCCCAAGAGGGCCCCAAGAGGGTCCCAAGAGGGCCTCAAGGGGTTGTCACGGAAAGGGGCCCTGCGTGACAACCCCAGCGGTTCCTCTTGGAGCCCTCTTGGGACCTTCTGAGGGCCCTTGGAGGGGCCCTAAGGCGGCTCCAAGAGGGCCCCAACAGGGCCCCAAGAGGGCCCCAAGGGGTTGTCACGGAAAGGGTCCCTGCGTGACAACCCCAGCGGTTCTTCTTGGAGCCCTCTTGGGTCCCTCTGAGGGCCTTTGGAGGGGCCCTAAGACGGCCCCAAGAGGGCCCCAAGAGGGTCCCAAGGAGGCCCCAAGGGGTTGTCACGGAAAGGGGCCCTGCGTGACAACCCCAGCGGTGGTTCCTCTTGGAGCCCTCTTGGGACCTTCTGAAGGCCTTTGGAGGGGCCCTAAGACGGCGGGAGGCTCGAGGTTCTATAGGGCTATGGGGCTATGGGGCTATAGGGCTATAGGGCTATGGGGCTAGAGGGCTAGAGGGCTATGGGGCTGTGGGGCTATGGGGCTATAGGGCTATAGGGCTATAGGGCTATGGGGCTATAGGGCTATAGGGCTATAGAGCTATGAGGCTATAGGGATTTGAGCCCTATGGGTGCTCGCTGGCGCCTTTGTTAGTGAGCTCACAGGCATCGTTTCTCGTGAGGGCGCAAAGCATCCCAGAAGGCCCTTTGCCAAGTAGAGGTCCCTTCCAATGAAAAACAAGTTTTTGCACAATTCATGTTTTGCTCAGCGACGTTTGTTATGTTTGATACAACATCAATACTGCGAAATGATGTCTTGGTGTTCGCATATGTTTCATTAAGTTTTTCATTGTTTTTGTTTGAATGTGTGGTTGTGTTTCGCTCATGTTTGGCTTTTGGCTGGTTCTGAAAACGTTTGAACATAATTCACTGGTGTTCATACGTGTCGGTCGTTCATTGCTTTCTTTTGTTGATGTTCACGTGTTTTTGTCATGTGCACATTGTTTTTCAACAGTTTTAATAAGTTGTACTGCGTTTCGTGATTTTTTGTGAAAGCAAAAAGTTCTTATGCTTTTCAATACTTGTTTAACATGTTCTGTAACTTTTTTATACGTTTTTACAACGTTTGGTACATTTGTGGTATTGCTTGTTACTTTTAACTGTAGTCGGGTAGTTTTTCATACTGTTTGATACATTTCGCTACTTTCGCGACGTTGCGGTGTTTTTTTTTTTTGCTTTTTCATAGCAGTTTGGTGGTTTTGTTGTTGTTTTTTTTGTTTTTGTGTTTTTTCATAGCATTTTTGTGGTTTTGTTGTTTTTCGCGCGTCTGGCTGCTTCAAGGCGGCCTCCCCGGAAGTCCCCCGGAAGTTCCCCGGAAGTTCCCCGGAAGTAAAGGAGCGAGTTTGCAGTAAAACCCACGAATCTCACAACAATGTT